CGGATGGAGGCTAGCAGAGGTGCCCGGGGATGCTGCTTCTCCCCGGCTGTGGGAGAGAAACGCGGAGCAGTGGGCTCCCTACCGCAAGCCATCATGAGGCATAGGGCATCAGGGTTGGGGTTCAGGAGCTTGGGCATCAGCCTCACATTTCTGAACTCCTCCTCCTGCCATAAACTGGCCGGTGTGACTGACCGTGGCCAAGCTATTTGATGACTCCACTTGACACTTGACAACGGAAGTATGCGTTAGCCATCTCAGAGGGTGAGGCTTCAACAAAGTGAATCTCACGGAGATCATTCAATATCTGCTCTCTATTCTTAATCCTTAGCCTGCCTACTCCTTCAGCCTGCTGCCGGGTATAAACGCCTGTCTGTGCTTCCTGTTTCTTTTACACAAACACTTCAGAATTTACAGAGGGCACCAGGAATCTCCCAAAAGTCCCGGTATGAGCCGGGCGTGGTGGCGCATGCCTTTAATCCCAACACTCAGGAAGCAGGGGTAGGTGGATCTCCGAGTTCGAGGCCAGCCTGTTCTGCAGAGCGAGTTCCAGGAGAGCCAGAGCTACACAGAGGAACCCTGTCTGGAAAAAACAAACAAACAACAAACAGTCCCAGTATGTTCTGGGGGCACAGATATAGGGAGTGGACCCAGGGGGAACCAATGCCCATTGATTCCCGGCAGAGTCCTTACCCTGCGGAGCCTGCCCATTAACTAAGTACGGGGTGTGCGTGCACACAGCTCAGAGTATGTATGTGGACATAGTGCTGCAGAGTGAGGATAGCATTCAGAGTTGGTGGGAAGGCCAGTGCCATAATTCTTCCCTGAGCTAGGAGCTTTCCTCTATAGACGAGGGCTACAATGGAGCCCTCGCTTCAAAACTCATTGCCATGTCTTCCCTCTCACGTTCCCGAGAGAACAGGTGGCTGGGTGGTGTTGACAGTGGTCATTGCCACCGTGGCTTTCCCATTCTCTCCTGTGTAATGTCCCCAGTGCCCAACCATTCACCCTGTGCCTGGGTTTCCCAGGGCTTGTATTGCTGAACTAGATACGGTTTTCCAGAATGAAATCTCAAGTGTTCCCATGCCCACAGGAGAGGCCCAGTGGCCAGTGGAAGGAGACAAGGAGGAGAATAAAAAGGCAAGGAGAGAAAAGAGGTGGTAGAAGAGGGGACAGAGGACGGAGCTGAGGCCGTGACAATGGTTGATAAGGTAACGTCAAGTCATCTTTGACCAAGGAGGAAGCCAGAATTGACAAATGTATTATTAACTTTTTAAAAATTATTTTATTTTATTTTATGTGTATGGGTGTTTGCCTATATGTATGTCTGTGCACCACCTGAGTGTCTAGTGCCCTGAGAGGCCAGAAGAGGGTGTAGAGTCCTCTGCAGTTGGAGTTACAAATGGTCATGGGCCACCATGTGGGTATTGGGAATTGAACCTGGGACCTCTGGAAGAGCAGCCAGTGCTCACAATCATTGAGCCATCTCTTCAGCCCCATTTAACATCTTCTCATGGGAAAAGGCAGGGACAGGATTTGGGGTGATATTATGTTAAGATCACAAGGATGTATGCAACATCGTCCTGCTCGGATTTGGCCAGTGCCTGGATTTTTTGTTCCCTCCATTCTTCTCACCTCATCTCTGCCTGGGGCTACGTAGGCCAGCTACCTCTGCACACCTTGCCCCTTTTGGCAGGGGACAAAGGCGTATGAGGAAATAAAGCACTCAGCCACCCAATGCCTTTAAATCCACAGCTCTGGGCAACAGCCCACACAGTGAAGCCGAGCCTGGACAGCCACTGTATATATACACGACGGAACACAGTTCCAAGTTCAGCACCTGATTTTGCTACACAGCCCCACGCTCTGAAGCAGAAGTCCAGCTTCAGTCCTGGAAGTGCTCAATTCTAGCCTGTGGTCTCAGCTCTGGTAAGTTCTGGGCATCTGGGGGCCAGCATACTTGCAAAAAGAGAAGGGGATTTTCTAAGCAGTAACTCCCTGTCAGTGTACATAGGCTTAAAAAACATGGGACCCCCTAGTAAACCAGTGGCTAAGCTCCCAGTAAGACTTGACATGCTGCTTAGCCGAGGTCCCTATGAAACAAATCACCTAAAATTGGATAGACCAATGGCCATAGCAATGATTGGGATTGATGGGACAGCAATATTTGATTCTAAAATTAATTTGCTTGTGAAGTAAAGAGGTAGGCACAGCAAGGAGACAGCCAAAGGTGGGAGTTGCATTGTGGTAAGGAGTTTTGTTCTGACAGTTTTGAGAACATCTGTCCACAACACAAACTCGCCACCTCTTTGTTTTTGCTGCATAATTAGAATGTCCCTGCTTATGTGTGAGATATTTTGGTGAATACCGTGTGTGGTCCACACATCAGGCAGGACGGCGTCATCTAGCTCTAGCTTGGGGGCTTCAGGACCCCATTAGTTCTTATTCTTAGTGGTTGGGTGGGACAACATGGAAATGGACACATCTGGAAATGTTTGGGACCCATAAGAAGAAATCAAAGATGAGGGATTCAATCTCATGACAAGAATGCTCTGAAGCCCACAGAAATCCACAAAGATACCTCCACAGAAGACTGCTGGCAGTGGCCAAGAGACAGCCAGGACTGACCTGCTCTGGTAATGGGATGGCCAGGCACCCTAATAGTTGTGCCAGAAACCCCATCCAAGGACTGAGGAATCTGGATGCAGACATCCACGTCTGGGCCCCGGGTGGAGCCCTGGGAGTCTGGTTAGTGAGAAAGAGGAGGGTTTATATGAGCAAGAATTGATGAAACCAAGGTTGGATAAAGCACAGGGATAGATAGCCAAACAAATGGAAACACATGAATTATGAACCAAGGGCTGAGGGGCCCCCAACTGGATCAGGCCCTCTGAATGGGTGAGACAGTCGATTGGCTTGATCTGTTTGGGAGGCATCTAGGCAGTGGTACCAGGTCCTGGGCTCATTGCATGAGTTGGCTGTTTGAAGCCTGGGACTTATGCAGGGACGCTTGGCTCAATCTGGGACGAGGGGACTGGACCTGCCTGGACTGAGTCTATCAGGTTGATCTCGGTCCTTGGGGGAGGCCTTGCTCTGGAGGAGATGAGAATGGGGGGTGGGATGGGGGGCAGGGGAGAGGGCAGGAGGGGGAGAGCAGGGGAATCTGTGGCTGTTGTGTGGAACTGAATGGTATTGTAAAATAAAATAAAATAATAATAATAATAAAAAGAATGCTCTGAAGCATGAAGCAAGACTTTCTCTGTCCCGCCAGCTCCCAGGTAATGACATGGAGACTTATTATTAATCATGACAGCTTGGCCTTAGCTCAGGCTTGTCCCACTAGCTCTATAACTTAAATTCACTCATTTATTTTAATCTGCATTCTGTCATGTGGCTCATTAACTCATCTCTCCACCCTGCTCATGCTGCTTCCTCTGCGTCTGGCTGGTGACCCCACCTTTCTTCCTCTCTGAGTCCTCTCTGTCCCCAGAAGTCCCCCCCCCCACTTCCTGCCTAGCTATTGGCCATGCAGCTCTTTATTAAACCAATCACACTTCTTCACACAGTGTAAAGGAATATTCTGCAACAGAAGCATAATTTTACTCTCTATAGCCAAATTCTTACCAAATGAGTTTAATATAACACAACTTTGAGATTTTTGTAATAAAGAAAAATAATTCAAAAAGATTAAAAGTTCATTTATAAATGTTTTCTTACTTGCATTCACTTAGTTAACTCATTGTTAACAATTTTTTTTAACTGTTCATGGAAAGGATGGCTACTCATCTTCCAAGTTGGGTTTTGTTGTTGTTTTGAGGGTGGGGGTAACATTGCAAAAACATCTGACTCCGTAGTTCAGGTTGGCCAGGAGTTCGCACATAGGCCATGCTGGCTGTGAGCTCACAGCCATCCTGCCTCTGACTCCACAGTGTAGAGATGACAGGTATACCCAACCACTCCAGACTTGAGTTATTTTATGACAGATCTGGAAATTAGGAAAATTTGGGTACAGGACGCAGTGGCACTCATCTGAAACCCCAATACTCTGGAGGCTGGGATAGTGGGATTCTAAGATGCAGGTCACCTAATACAAGGCTTCATCCAAAAAACAAGCAATAATAATTCCTTGAATCATATAAAGCATAAGGTAATTACAGTCACTTCCTCTGCTTTCTATTTCCATGACTAAGTTGTATCGAGCAAATTATTTTCACTGTGCAATCTGTTCTTAGTTGGGTTCATAGTTTGACAGGACTTCTCTTCCAGCTAACCCTACTTAACCCGGGCACTGTACTCTACTCTGCCCTGTCCTACACTGAAGAACACAGTTTCCCTTGCTGCCTACTGACTTTCCACTCCCTCTTCTTACAGATCTCCAGCTCCTACATGACCACCACGACCACTACCACCACCATCACAAAGCCTCTTTCTGGGGGGCTAGAGAATGAGGGGGAGAAATTAGAAAAGATTTTCCAACAATGGGGAGAAGACATCCGTCCTGAAATGAAAGAAGACATACATGACCCCAGCTACCAGGATGAGGAGGGGCCCCCGCCCAAGCTGGAGTATGTCTGGAGAAACATCATCCTCATGGCCCTGCTGCACTTGGGGGCCCTGTATGGGATCACACTGGTTCCCTCCTGCAAGGTCTACACCTGGATCTTCGGTGAGCAGCTCCCCTTGTCTTGGGCCAGTGCTCTTGGTCTCACCCTTTTCCTTAATGAGGTCTGCTCGGACCCAGGTCAGCAGCCGTGTTCTGTATGGGATTCTCCATCCCTTTCCCTTTGGCTCCTGAGGGATTGACTGGGCTGGAAAAAGAGCCTAGTTGGATTGGGATGCAAGAGTATCCGTTCCGGGAGTCCCTTAACATGGATGCTGAGCCCATGGGCATGGTAGCTTGGAGGAATGGACATGAGACAAAGCAGCAACTGACCCTGAACAAGCTTTTCTGGGTGAATTCCTTGCTTGTCTGCCTGTCCTATCCCTGCCTGCCTGCCACAAGTAGGCCCTCCCCCAGGTACTGGGCTAGGGGCTTCATGGACTACACTTTGAACCCTGTCAGCACAAAGCAAATGAAGATTGTACAGGGAAAAACGGAAGAGGGTCATCCAGACAAGTCTTTGGACCTCACCCTCTGTCCGGATGAGGCTGGCTTGCCTGGGAGGAAGATGAAGCAGGCTCCTAGACAATTCAGATGCACAGTAGCCTCCCCTACTCCTCGTAGGTCTCCAGGGTGTGGCATAGGCCGGTCAGGATGTTCTTAGAATGAAATAAGATTGCAGAAGGGTTTCATGTTCCAGTCCCCATCCAGCCTCCTGCTGCTCATCTCATCTCTTCCAGTGCTATGGATGCTGCATGGTCTAATACACCTTCCCTGTCTCCAATACACAGTTCTTTGGCAGACATTATAACCCTTGATTAGCCCAATCTTCAGGCTGCTGTACTGAGAAAGACAGTGTGTCCCTGGCCTGCCTTAGCTCAGACCCTTGGGGCTTCATGGGCCTGGAGTTGATGGTAGTGCTGCCCCTGGCATCTACAGATGTTCTTTGCAGGTGTTATCACTTGTGACCCCAGAAGCCTGAACAGGAAGAGTGAGCAGGACATGTGTAGATGCAGGGCACTTGCTGCTCTGGCAAGTTCTCCTCAAGAAGATGCTGGGATGTTGTCTAGAGCAGCGTCAGGTGTGGGTTTTTTTCTGGGCACTCTCTCTTAAAGAGTAGTGGTAGAAAGAGGCTAGTTGGCTAGATGTTAGCTGCATCTGGCCCAGTCCTTGTAGGTCTTATAAGTGGTGAGATCTGGACTCTGGAGCTTCATGTTGGAAATTTTCCAGATGTCTCAGGGAAATGCAACTGTGCACATTTCCTTCCTCAAGATCCTGTCCCAGTGTGGCCTAAAGCACCCTTTCAGGTCGGGAATAGCTTGTTCTTATCACATGGTGTCACACTCCCGTACATAGCAGGGTGGTTTATCTATAGGTCAAGGATCGTGGTCGCTGAGGCAGCTGGGTGGTGTCTGTACTCTTCTCCTTCTGAGAACCCCAAACTTGAGTTGCAGCGTAATGGACACACAATGTGGGTAGCATTCCCTTATAGACTATGGACTCCCCTTCCACTTTGGGCCCTCCTTGTAGGCATCATTCAGTTCAATTCTGAGCTTGTCCAAACTGTCTTTTTGGCAGACCTCAGTTGCTCATACAGGAATTGGAATGACATCCCAAAGCGAAGGCTGTGTTTGCTCTTTTTGGTATCTTTCCATTAGTAATCTGTTATTTTTGGCTTCCGAAAAACATAGGGCCATTTATACAAAGTGTGGGGTCTCCGACCTTAAGGTTCTGTAGCCTTTGAGGAGCAGCCATTGTTTCCAGTTGGCCCTTAGAGTATTGTACAGTTTTTTACCAAGGTCCCAGCTTTTATGTTAGTGCTACCAACCAGAGGAACAGATGGCTGCACCCAGTGTCCCCTTCCCCATCATGGATTATGCAAAGCCTCTTGAGGTCAGTAGGGTAGGACAATGCTGGTATTCGCTGTTGTCCAGAAGTACACGCCAGAGCTGGAGCCAGAATAGACTGTTGTCGGAAACCCTAGCTGCAAACCATGGTTCCACTTTTACCAGTCTCGTGGGACTAGAAAAACATACCACTTACTCCATGCATTTCCTCAACTGTGAGGTCACGTTAGGAGCACCTACCCCATTTAAGGGATACAGTGAATATAAGAATAGTAATATCCTTGGCGAAGCTTGAGCCTCTGTGCAAATGTGACTGTAGACAGGGCTGCCTGTCCCTGATACAGCCCCCCTTCCACTGCAGTAATGACATGCTATTGTACCGACTGTTATACAGTCCCAGCTCCGCATTGCATGTGTGTCCCTTGCCACTTGGGTCTCCTCTAATTTGGCAGTGCCCAGATTGATCTGGCTCATGAACACCTGTGTTTATGGTCCTAAGCACTGTGGGCACAGTTGATGGCCCTCAACACTTCAGAGAAAGTCAGCCGAAGATCAAAGGACCCAGGACCTGGCATAATGCTCCTGCAGGACAGTGACTGCAACCCTATTCCATGACCTACCTCCTCAGCACCTAGACCTCCTTAGCTCATCTCCATTTTTAGGTGGACAGTCTGTGAGGGGATGGGATTCTCTTCAAGCGGTGAATGTTTTCAGCCTTAGAGAACAAAGCATCCCCGAGACAGAAACACCCCAATAGGACAGTGGCAGATAAACTCATAGGCCTTCAGCTAGTTACTGGCCGAAAGCATGGCACATGCTTGCTTATGCCTCTCCTTTGTGTTATTTAGGCAGCTACAGCAGCTTGTGCACCTAAAGTTCTTGATGGTCTCTCTGCCCACATGCTGCCACTTGAGCAAATCAAGAAAGGCTCGGCTCTCCCTGTGTTCAGAGAGCTGCACCAGTCATGAATGAATGTCTTGCCTATGTGGTTTGGATATGTCTCATTTCTACTGCCTTAGTGTCAAAGGATCCCGCGTCTATTTATATCCCTAGGATTCAGGAGAAAACAGATCCCCATCCCAAGCCTTACAAAGACACAATGGAGCTCTGGAAAGGTGTCCTAACATTCTTAGCAGGCGAACTTTCCTGATTTCCAGTGTCTTTTCCTGCAGTGTATGTATCATATATAGTTACTGGCCTGAGCATCACAGCCGGGGCGCATCGCCTGTGGAGCCACCGAACCTATAAAGCACGACTGCCCCTGAGGCTCTTCCTCATCATAGCCAACACCATGGCTTTCCAGGTGAGAGTCTGGTGCTGCTCAGCACTGTGTGTCAGTCACTTCTACTGATGATCCAGGGCAGACCAGAGGGAATCGGTGTCCTGAGGAGAGCCAACAGGGCAGCCATTGTCTCCCCTGGTCTTCTGTGGTCATCTGAAGTATGTGCTTAGTTCTGAGGTCCACAGAGCATGAGGTCCTTCTGAGTCACTGGGTAGGGAGACAGGAGGAAGGGGTCTCTAGTTACTACTGGGTCATTTTTGACCACATTCTTATGCTTTCACAGAGTATGACTGACGTGGTCCTTCAGTCTAACAGGCCACCCTGCACAGTTAGGCACTGACCCTGGTTTCCTAGACCATCAATAAACAGTAAACGTACACTTTGTGATGCCCGTCTTGGGATCCCAGCACGATGGGAATGAAGATGAAGTGCTGAGACCCAAGGGCTGTTGTTTCAGATAGTAAACGCAAGCACGTCTAACGGTAGTGAGTCTGTTGCAGGCACTGTGCGAGGGTTTGGCATAGATGCACTCGTTAAGTCTTCAGAATGTCTTAAGAGGTGGGTACTGTTATTATCCCTCATTTCAGATGAGGAAATTGGGTTAGTAAGTAGTCTCATAGACCTGTGCTGGGATGCCACCTGCGGCTGCCATGCTGGCTAAGTCAGCTCCGGAGGCTGCTTGAGCATGAGTTCATAACCCGGAAGGGAGGGAGTTGGAGAAGCGAGTTTTTACCGGTCTTAGCTTACAGCAACTGGCAGCGGAGAGCTTGTCATCTGGGGGGAGGGCCTCAATGTGGGGCTCATCGTGGGGTAAGGAGAAACCCGGAAACAAAATTCATTTTCTTGCATGGTAAGATTGGAGGTTCCCAACCTATGTGTATAATCATCTCTGCCCTAGCAGTTTTACACCCTGAACTCTCCTGCTCTCTGGGCAAAAGGGAAGAGGGTAATATTATTGGTGCATAATTAAAGGGTTAGGAAGAGTCCCATGTAAGAGGTCCTTAGGAAAGGTGCCCAAGCTCCTAAGTTACATGCTGGTCTTGTTGCTAGTTGAGTAACCTGTCATTGTGGAAGTCTAAGAGAGAGCTTCCCCCATCTGTATTCACAGACCAACACGCCCGGCTCAAGGCCACCTGCTGCTTATTCCCCATCTTCAAGGATCAGGCCGTCCATTAGGGTCCTGTCCAATGTTCTGCTGTTCTTTGCTAACGAAACTGAGGGCTGTCACCAACCTGCCTTCTTCTGCCCCACAATCTCAGGAAGCGGCAGTGCTATTTCCTGAGTCTGAGGCTATAAGCTGCTTTTCCACATAAGCGTCAGGGGCAAGTGTACAGAAGAGGGGCTCCCCAAGTCCTCCTTGGAAGACAGTCCTGGAACTCTGTGAGACACCTAAGGCCCTTGCATTCCCCCCCCCCGGGGGGCATCTCTTCTCAGTACTGGGGTCCTCTTTCCTGTCCCTCCAGAATGATGTGTATGAATGGGCCCGAGATCACCGCGCCCACCACAAGTTCACAGAAACACACGCCGACCCTCACGATTCCCGGCGTGGCTTTTTCTTCTCTCACGTGGGCTGGCTGCTTGTGCGCAAACACCCGGCTGTCAAAGAGAAAGGTGGAAAACTGGACATGTCTGACCTCAAAGCTGAGAAGCTGGTCATGTTCCAGAGGAGGTGAGTGAGGGTTGGGGGCGTGGAGCCCGGGGTACCTGGGGTTTAGAGACTCCACCTTTTCTCATATATAATGTGTAAATAAAAGCTGAGAGATTTCTGGGTTTGTATGTTTAAGACCCATTTTACCCATTTTAATGGCTCAGAGACCATAACGATACTTCACTGTTTTGTGCAGTTCCATGCACTTTGAGCAATTTTCCTGAACACAATTAAGTGCAATCTGACCTAACTATCGCTGATCTAACTAGACAGGCATAGACATAAAAGTGAATATAGCTGAGCCTTTCCCCTCAAGGAATTTCTAGCCTATTGAGGTTGAGAGACAAGGCAAGTGTGAAATAATCATGATACAAGGCAGAATATGCAGAATATTAATCCTGCACTCGGGAGACAGGAGGATCTCTGAGTTTGAGGCCAGCCTGGTCTACAGAGTGAGTTCCAGGACAGCCAGAGCTACACAGAGAAACCCTGTCTTGAAAAACAAACAAACAAAAGGAACTCAAAGGCAGATGGACAAGAACCCAGACAGCAGAACTTGGCTGATGAGGTGATGAGGCTGTGATTTGACCCTGGTTTGTCTGATGAACATAGTTTTGTTCCTCTGAGGAAAGAATAATGGATTTCTTGTCCGGAAACAGGCGGTTCTATACTGGACACGCTGGCTTCCGGTATTGTGGTCCTAGGAAAGTCATTGTGTGTCCACATTGCCTCATTTAAAAATGTGTAGAAGACCGTGTGTTCGAAAGATTATCCACCCCATTCTCTTCTGGGGGTTTCTGCCCTCGCCCTTCCCCCATACTCATAGTGGGAGCAGGAAAAGCACAGGTACACTCTAGGAGTGGATGCTTAAGGTAGGTGTAAGAGTGACCTCTCCATACTCTGCGTGTGATCTCTCCACGTAGGTACTACAAGCCCGGCCTCCTGCTCATGTGCTTCATCCTGCCCACACTGGTGCCCTGGTATTTCTGGGGAGAGACTTTTCAACACAGCTTTTATGTTGCCGCTTTACTGAGATATGCCTTGGTGCTCAACGGCACCTGGCTGGTGAACAGTGCCGCCCACCTCTATGGATATCGCCCTTATGACAGGAACATTGGAGCCCGACAAAATATGCTAACTTCAATGGGAGCCCTGGGTAAGTCAGCTGTCTGCAGCATGACCACATCCGTTGGTCTACTAGTTAGGATTCTCTGCTGTCTGAAAGACCAGATAAGATTTGTTTTAGTTCAGGATCTCACTCTGTAACCCAGGCTGGCCTGGAACCCACTCTGTAGCCCAGGTTGGCCTCTAAGTTGCAACAGTATCCCTGCCTCAGCCTCCAAAATGGTACAATTGCAGGCATGAGCCATTACATATGGCTCCTAACTTTGTTTTAATGGTAAATTGTGTCTCAGTTCTTCTATCTGAAACTAGGGTTTATTAACTGAGTAAGCCAGTCTGGTCTACATAGCAAGTTGCAGGCCAGCCAGGGCTATGTAGTGAGACCCTGACTCAAAGACAAAGGACAACGAAAAGCTAAACCAACTAGGTATTATATAAGATACCCAACTGAAAGTCAGGCAACATGCCTACTACAAAAACGAAATGGTGGAGAACACCAGGTTCCAAAATGGTCTCCAAGTGCCGTGTCTATCAAGCCGCTTTTAAACAGGGTCTCACTGTGTAACCCTGGCTGTCCTGGGATTTGCTACATAGACCAAACTGGCCTTGAGCACACAGAGATTCACTTGGGTCAGGCTCCTCCGAGCTAGGATTAAAGGTGTGAGCCACTACACCCAGCCCATATCAGGCCCTTTTAAGTTTGCCCTTCCCTGTCTTCCCTGGTTGGCTAGGGTCTCGCTTGGGTTAGGAAATGAATAAACTAAACAGCAGGGTCAGAGGCACAGTCAGTAAAGCTCAGTGCTTGGCATTTGATCATGCTACGCAAAATGCACAGGAATTCCGACTTCGTCCACTCAACTCCAATCACACTGTCCCAACTGTGTTTCCACTCTCCTGCCCTAGTTTTCTAAATCAGGTACTTTCTGCCTCTGAACATGCTCTCACTTTGATCCTCCTGAAATAAATTACTTTCACTCGACAATTACTAGATTTTCACAGAATAATGTGGCCTGAGCTGTGCTCTGTTCTGTGACTGGAAATGAGGTGAGCTTCTTCAATTCATAGCCTCGTGACTAGCTGTCCAGAGAGGCTGCCAGCCTTCCTTCACGGTCATGGCTTATCTGGTCTTTTGTCTGCTTACCTCACCCTTGGTTCTTCTCCAGCTGTTTCCTGCCATGCTGGTTTTTTGGGTTTGGTTTTTGGTGGTTTTGTTTTTTTTTTTTTCCTTTTGGCTTCTTGAATTACCGCCCCCACTGTCATATGCTCAAGTTATCTGAGAAAGTTGATCTCTGAAGATTTCTTGTTTGATGTCCCAGTTGTTACACATAACTCTTGCCCCATTCTGTTTGAAATCTAACACTCAGTGCCTCCAGTATAGAAGTTACAGTCCTTTGTTAGTAGCCCTAGCCAGGTGCTCTCCCACCCCCTGCCCAGTCTACACTGTGGACCACTCTGCATGCAGATAGAACGAATCCACAGCCACCAGGAGCCCTAGTTAGAAGAGGTTCGGTGTCCCAAATCCCGTGACTTGCTTGTTTTCCGTATCACCGCTAATCTCTCTGGAGATACTCAGTTTCCAACTCTCTTATTAGTTGTTCTTTATGCGAACTTGGTGAAGTAGTGCTGTTCTTGAGGGACTCGGTCAGAAAGGAAGGCTCTGCCAGCAGCTGGCAGTCTCTACGGTTTTCACTTACCCGCCACAATCATTATCCTGAGTCTAAAGATGTGTGTTTTCTTTTCAAAGTGAATGCGCATCTCAAGAGTGCCCAGAATATCCAGTTAGAAGGAATCGCTAAGCATTTTCAGAGTGGTTCTGAATTCTTAGGACCGCCCTCACACCAGATCAAAGGAGACAGCAGCCCCCAGGGGACCGCCTGGAGCTGAGGGAACGCTGGTCCTGGGCCTCCTTCCTTTGACTTTTGGCTGTTGTTGGCTTCTCTGTGGGAACCTCCCACACTTGACAGGAAACACCAATAGCATGGAAAGCGTGAGCCTGCTTACCTGTTAGAAGCGTACAGAGCCTCCTCTCCCCTCCAGACCACATGCACGCAGACACAGAGCGGGGCCCTCTTGGTTCAGTATTTGTTTGCTCTGGATTTTTCCAAGGAGAACCATTTTCCCAGAAGAATCATTTTCCCTCATCCGGTTATCTCAAGAAAAACAGACTTCCAAAAAACAGCCCCCCACACCATCAGTAAGTGAGACCGCACAATATATTTAAGATACTTCTGAGGTCACTTTTTTCCTCAGGGTAGAAGACACAGGGTCATCTATTCAGTTAACAGCAGCAGAGTTCTCTGAGATTTCTCAAGGTAGCTTCTAGGTTAGAGGTGTGCAAAGAGCAGGAAGCAGCCATCACCGAGCCCCCTAACTGCTCTCCACGCTTCTGTTCCAGGCGAGGGCTTCCACAACTACCACCACACCTTCCCCTACGACTACTCTGCCAGTGAGTACCGCTGGCACATCAACTTCACCACGTTCTTCATCGACTGCATGGCTGCCCTGGGCCTGGCTTATGACCGGAAGAAAGTGTCCAAGGCCGCTGTCTTGGCCAGGATCAAAAGAACTGGAGATGGGAGCCACAAGAGTGGCTGAGTTCCTGTTCCAAATGTCACTTGGGCAGAAGGTTAATGTTCTGCTGATGACTATAGAGAATGCTACAAGAATGCTAAAGATGACCTTAACCCACCAGGCAGTGGTGGCACACGCCTGTAATCCCAGCACTCAGGAGGCAGAGGCAGGCGGATCTCTGTGAGTTCAAGGCTAGCCTGGTCTACAGAGCTAGTTGCAAGACAGCCAGAACTACACAGAGAAACCCTGACTTGAAAAACAAACACAACAACAAAAAGATGACTTTTACCTACTCCTGTACAGCACTTTTTTCCCGAGAGAGGGCTTCTCTGGGTAGCCCTGGCTATCTGGAACACACTCTGTAGACCAGGCTGGCCTTGAACTCAGAGATCACCTGCCTCTGCCTCCCAAGTGCTGGGACTAACAGTGTGCACCACACCACCACAGCCCTGCTGTGTACAGCACTCTTATAAAATGCTCAGGTATCAAAAGGCAATACCTCTCCTTTATGATGCTAAGCTGATACACTTGCCTTTTCATCCTATCCTTTCTCCATATCTCCCTCATCTCTTACACAAGTGGTGTTACTCATCAGTTCTTTCTTGTCTAGCATTCTTTGCATAGTCCAGTAGTCAAGTGTGCCTCAGAAAGCTTTCACTGAAGCGCCCTGTACTTCATGGTAGGTGGCTTAATTTGGAGATGCGATGAAGTCTGAGTAGGACATCTTAATTGTCAAGAATCTATGGTCTGCTAGATAAGAGAGGACAAGAACTTTACTTGACAGAGTGTGCAAAGCACGCACATTGTAATGGGAAAGGGTTACCATGCCAGGTATGATTCTTAAGCAGGATTGGTGTTATGTGAAATGAGTTATAAGGAAGTCTTTCTGTGATCAGACTCAGCTGCTTTTCAAGCAGCGATGGAACGCCCCTCCCAACACACACACAGCATCCTTCCTTTCTGTCCTGAGCCCCAGAGCTTGGCAATGTCAAAACACAGCCGTAAATCCAACATCTAAATATTATTTAGAGTAAGGATCTAAAACAAGCATTTATGGAGTAAGTGCAGCTGGGATGGAGTTGGCTTTTCTGTTATAACAGGATCTCTTGTTTCATAGAACAAGAGGTATTCAGGTAGGCTGTGTCCAGAATGGGTGAGTAAGACATTCTTAGAGTTTTGAGCAGTCCCTGAGACGCTGCTCACCCAACTTCCTTCATTGCTCTGCTCTGTCATCTTTAGGTGGCTAGACTGCTTCTAATGCTTGTAAGATGGCTGTGGATTTATAAACTCCCTAAGCAAGAAAGGAGCAGGAAGAGAGTTGGGCTGACCAGGACAAGTGGTGACCTAATTATCTGATTGTGATTCTGAGTTTCTGTCTTTGAAAGACGTTCATAAGGAGACAGGAGTAGACAGCAGAGGGAATATCTGCTCACCTGTTCCTCCCATTCCAAGGCAGTGATGGAGAGGTTGAGGGACAGTGTTGGTAGTTTCTCAGAAGTAACTTCCTGGAAGAAGGCTCTACAAGATACCCAGGGGATTGTCAGCTTCCTGAGTAGGGACTCTGTTCAACTGAAACAGTCTCAACGCCAGGTCCCTTTATTAATCCAAATTGCTCTTGGATTGATCAAATCGAGGCCTCTGCCTGCAGTGTTATGCCTCTTCCCCCATAGTCCTTGCTCTGAACCATCCCGCCCTGCAGGACTGTCCTGGGGGCAGGGTAGGAACCTCTGACGCAGTCACTCTGCCTTCCTGGCTCTACCTTTCTGTTCTCCTGCTGGTCTGGTCTGTTCCTGGACTTGTCTCCTCTCCCCAGACAGGAAGCCTCTGGTGTGTACTCGGGACAGCCAGGGTCTGCATCCCAGCAGCTCCTCCCCTACAGACACAATGCCAAGGAACTGTTCCTTGTCATCTTCAGCAGACAGAGCCGGTTGTCACCTTCCTAGGCCTCCAGATGCTCTCCACGCCCACCTTTGGGGTTTCTAGCACCTTGATGACCCCAGACAAACTCTTTTCTGCAACACTGTTCTAGAGAGAGTGCTGGCCCACACAATTTCTCCTCTCATCAGTCTTGACCAATGCAGATGCTGCTGATGTAGCTCTGAGCCAGCCCTGGAGCAGGCACCTGAAAGGTAGCAAGGACAACCTTGGCTTTGGTATGGCATTCTGTCCTCTGCACACTCTTCTCCCTACCTTGGATATGTTCTTTCTTCTTTTAAGACTTGTAGGAGCCGGGCGGTGGTGGCGCACGCCTTTAATCCCAGCACTCGGGAGGCAGAGCCAGGCGGATCTCTGTGAGTTCGAGGCCAGCCTGGGCTACCAAG